TCAGTCACCACAACCCAACATCGCATCGCCCATAAATCCGATAACACCTAACAACAACCTGTATGGTTCAAGAGGACTGAGCAGGAATTATTGAAGTAACATAATGNGTCGTATGTGTCGTAGGTGTCGTATGTGTCGTAGGCGTCGTATGTGTCGTAGGTGTCGTGTGTGTCGTAGGTGTCGTATGTGTCGTAGGTGTGTGTCGTATGTGTCGTAGGTGTCGTATGTGTCGTAGGTGTCATAATGGTCGTAGGTGTCGTATGTGTCGTTGGTGTCGTATGGGTCGTAGGTGTCGTATGTGTCGTGGGCGTCATATGGGTCGTAGGTGTCGTATGTGTCGTAGGTGTCGTATGTGTCGTAGGTGTCATATGTGTCGTAGGTGTCGTATGTGTCGTAGATGTCGTATGTGTCGTAGGTGTGGTATGTGTCGTAGGCGTCGTATGTGTCGTAGGCGTCGTGTGTGTCGTAGGTGTCGTATGTGTCGTAGGTGTCGTATATGTCGTCGTTGTTGTATGTGTCGTATGTGTCGTTGGTGTCGTATGGGTCGTAGATGCCGTATGTGCCGTGGGTGTCGTATGTGTCGTAGGTGTCCTGTGTGTCCGTTGGTGTCGTATATGTCGTAGGCATTATATTCGTCGTATGTCTTGCATGTATCGTAGGGGTCGTGTGTGTCGTAGGGGTCGTAAGTGCCGTATTTGTCGTAGGTGTAGTATGTGTCGCATATGTCATAGGTGTCGTCTTCTCTGTTTTGCCAGTGGACGGAGTTACTGTTGGAGAATGAGAACCGTCAGCGACTTTGGTTATTTCGAAACTGTACAACCGTCCGATTTTTACAGATACTTTCAGTCTAAATGGATTGCCATTTTTCAGAGTTATGAAGGTTTCGTTCCAGAGACAACATCACCCTTAACAATGGAATTGAATAATACTAACGACTGTAACACAATGGATTCACATGTAGATAAATAGTAAGATATTCCTGAACAGGATGTTGCAAGGGGTGTGTTTCACTTTTTACCATAAGAAAAACATTTGAATAACTTGATCTGTAACTCATTTTTGTAGAACAATGAAACCAATACAGTGAACAAATATCATCTTCGATAATCCTCACGTATGTCTAACCATAAGATTAGAGTCTTTGACTATCGTGAATGCGGTATCGTGATCTTGTAAAAGATATGCATGGCATTTATCGCATGTTTTGCAAGCAAACAAAATGATACGAACAATTTGCGTTTATGTGACGAATTTTCATTCATTACTGTAATGTATTTTGCAGGAAGAATTGATGTTTCGTGTATATAGAACGCGTAGTGGAATTGTGAAATTACGTGATGCGGCTCTCAGTTTTGAATGGATATGTGAAGCCGAAAAGACGTT